CTCTTGTTTTTTCAAGATAGGGTTTCTGGGTAGCCCTGGCTGTCCTGGAACTCACTCTGTAGACCAGGCTGGCATTGAACTCAGAGATCTGCCTGCCTCTGCTCCCCAAGTGCTGGGATTAAAGGAGTGCACCACCACCTCTTGACTCACACCTACTCTGGTGTCCACAGCTGGTCTTTTTTTCTGGTCTCAGGATTGATCTGTCCCAAGGCAGAATTCAGAGGTCCACCATGCAGAAACTTAAGTGGTTGGGGAAATTCCAGAAGGTGCTGTCTTTAAAGCACCTCCCAGCCCCAGCCTCAGGAAGGCTCACTTCCCCATCGTGGGCTCCTGTGGGGCTTCAAGGACAGTTTCTGGGTCATTAGAAAGGAGCCTCTGAGGTCTGGCTTTTCCTGGGGCCTGCCCTGGTGCTAAACACCGAGGAATTGGGGTTTTGACACTGCAAGATGCTAGTCATGGCCAAAAACCCCTCAACCCTGGTACTTGAATGGTCTCATGCATAAGCCCCCATGTTGCCCTAGCCAGGCCTTAGTGGCTGGAAGGATTGGCCTCAGGATGACATCAGGATACACCCATGAGGTCTGAGCTCTGTGCCTTTGGGACAAGCTCTCTAGTTAGGGTTGGGGTTCAAAGCTCTGACAGGCAGACTGAAGGTTCAGGTGATTCATTTATGAGGGAAGAGGGGCTCTATTGGTACACAGGTGTTACCAATCTAGTCAAAGTGACTCTTGATTCTTTTAGCTGGGCAAGGAAATGGACAGGGAGAGGAAGGACCTTTGCTCTGAGTGTCTGGCTGCTGCAGAGGTGGGTGCAGCAGGAAGTCAGAGAGCAGTAAGAGCTCCTGAGAGGACCCTAAGGGCTCTGTCAAACATCAGGAACGTTCCTGAAACCAGCAGCTGGGCCCAGGAGAAGCCTCCAAAATTCTTATACATCTGCGCATGGCCCCATCTTGCACAAAACTGGCATGGACCTCTGAGGCATCCAGGACTTCCACAGCCCCCCACCCCTATAGCAGATGGTAGCTGATTCAGCTTTTGCTTCTGTGTGGGTTTCCCATGAGCCTGGGCCAGGGATGCCTCTCAGACTCGTTCAGCGCTTGAGAGTCTCCTACTGGGGTCTGTCTGCCCTATGGCCCGTTTCTGCCGGCATCTGGGGAATTGTACCCCTCTTGCAGTCTCTGAATGAGCTATTGACATGTAACAAGAGGCTGTGGCCAGGAAAGAAGGAAGCCAGGTGAAGAGAACATGAGTTAAAGTCCACACCTTCCCCAGAACCATGGGCAGTCTGTCAGGGTTTGGGAATGGCCTGGGCTCCATTGTCTTTCCTCAGCCAATCTTGAAACTTCCCAGCTGAGCTGCTAACCTTCTCAAACTCAAGTTCAAAGAGGTGGACCTTGGGACTGAGACAGAAAGTGAGCTGGCCCAGGTCCTCCATGGCTTCAATTCCTCTTCTGAAGGAGGCTGGGTAGTACAGAGAGACAACATGAATTCTGAGTCGTTTGGCTCTGCTGGGGAGCAGGCTGAATTGTTAAGATGGTGGAAAGTCACACATTGCAGATTCTTCGTGACTTCTGGGCCAGCGTGTTTGACCCAGAGACCTGCACAAACACAGCATAAATGCCTGGTGATTTCTGCGACAGGAAGAGACTGGAAACACCCTTCACACGCCAGCAGAGAGTGCCGGCAGCAACTGTGACGTGGCCCTGTGCTGGAATACCATGCAACTGTAGAAAGGGAATGCAAACGTTTCCTGTGTATGAATTGCCAAACCACTCTGGGATTTTTGTTAAGTGAAAAAGCAAGTGCAAGTCATTTTAGAACAGAGAGAGTCATAGGTCACTAGGCCAGGGAGCAGATCAGTGTGCCCAGTGTGCCTACAGTCAAGGGAGAAGGGGAGCAGCTTGGGAGATGCTCTGGGTTCAGAGAAGAAACTGAAAATTGCTAGGAACCATGGGAAACTCTTGTGCTCCATACCACTGTCTTAGTCAAGCCTGTCAACTACTTAAACAGCCCCATTTGCAAATGTGGGAATGGAGCCCAGAGAGTGAGGGAACCTGCTCAGAGTCACACAGCAGAAAAAGGGCCAGAGAAAGAACCCACAAAACTGGATACTGAGCTTATGCCAAAATCACGTTAATCTTTTTTTTTTTTTTTTTTTTTTTTTTTTTTTGGTTTTTTGAGACAGGGTTTCTCTGTGGTTTTGGAGCCTGTCCTGGAGCTAGCTCTTGTAGACCAGGCTGGTCTCGAACTCACAGAGATCCGCCTGCCTCTGCCTCCTGAGTGCTGGGATTAAAGGTGTGCGCCACCACCGCCTGGCCACGTTGATCTTTTTTTTCCTTTTCTTTTTCGACAGGCACCCACTATGTAGCTATGAATGACTTGAAACTCACTATGTAGCCCAGGCTGGTCCAGAACTTATTGATAGCCACCAACCTCTGCCTCCTGAGCACTGGGATTAAAGGTCTATGCCACTACTATCCAGCCACTTGGTCTCTTCTATTTTTTCCCTTTAGAGTGGCTGCTGACTGGAATGGGGTGACTGGAGAGGAGAGGGATGGTGGAGGCTGAAATGGAACCCAGGAGGCTTGTAAGATCTGGAGACTTAGATGAGGATAAATGAGGCTTGTGATGTAGTCAGAGGCAGGGTGCTTCTCAAGCATGCACAGGTCTTGATCCTCAACATGGAAAAAAAAGCCCTTGAGGTCTTGAGGAAGACGGTGATATGGGGATTTAGGTGTAGAGTGGAGATATGTTTGGGCTCAAGAGATGAATCAGTTGTTTGCTGCTCTTCCAGAGGACCAGAGTTCAGTTCCCAGTATCCCTGTCAGGCGCTCACAACTGTCTGTAACTCCAGCTCCAGGAGATCCAAAGCCTCAGGTACCAGCATGCACATGCACATAGCCACAGGCAAGCACACATACATGCAGACAACTAAAGATAAGGAAAATAAACCTTTACAAATAGCTAAGAGATTTTAAGACATGGGAACAAGACTTGGTGGTGAGTTGGAGAGGATGTTGTAGAAGAGGGTGGAGCCCAAGGTCCTTGCGTCTGCTCATTAATTTATTCATGTTCCGGAGTATTGATCTGGGCAACAGGTGCTGTTCCCAGAGCTGAATTTGCATTTGTTATCAAATCAGAAGTCGCCCTGTCTTAAGGAGTTTCATCCCAGGTGTTGGAGATAGGCACTAAAGAGTAGGCAGGGGAAGGGGCTGGAGAGATGGCTCAGTGGTTAAGAACACTGTCTGCTCTTTCGGAAGACCTTGGTTCAATTCCCAGCACCTTCTGTAACTCCAATTACACCCCTTTCTGGTCTCCATGGGCACAGTATACACACATACATGCATACACAGGTATATATCCAGGCAAAATACCCATACATATACAATTTCCAAAAAATATGATGAAGAAATACATGAAATACATTCCCTGGGCTCCCTAAAGTTGTCCTCTAACTTCTGCACATACACTGTGGAATGCCCCATCCATGCACACAAAATAAACATGTGAGTAATTTTTTTTTGCAAGAAGAAACATGTTAATGATCGTTAGTTAAAATCGTGGGAAACCAAGACAAGTGAGTATGATGACAGTGACAGTCTCTACCAGGGAGGGGTCTAAAGTGTTAAGTGGGGTTGTCAGGAAACATTTGGAGAGATGTTGGAACAACGATGTGGAGAGGGCAAGGGAGAGAAGAGGTCTGGAGGGGGAGGGGAGCAGGTCTGATGTGTTTCAGAAGCAGAAGTGTGGCAGCTATCATTCCTAGCCAGCAATGTCCATCTTCTTTACTTCTGGGTCTAGAAAGGGCCACACCTCCCTCTGAGGCCCAGGCACAGTGTGCGATCCACTCTAGTGAGAGAGGAGAGATAGGAGAGGAGGAGGCGGGTAACCCTTCCAGGCTGACGCACATTTGAACAGGTGAGTGATTCTGTATTCCTACATCGTCTGATAGCAGTGATGCTCCAGATAACCTGGACTCAGGATGACGTCGACTCTGTGGATATGAGAGCATGCGTAAGAAATATATCTACTGGTCTGGGGCATCCTGAAGCAAAACCACGCCGACACTCATGTGTACAACAGGACAGGTTTTTACAGGTTGTGGGGCAAAAATAAGAGTAAAGGATGTCAACAGGGACATAGCGATAAAACCATTGCCTTCTAACTTGAGAGGAATGGGAAGCCATGGGAAAAGTTTAGGCAGGAGGGAGATGGGACCCCATAGCATCTTACTGGCAGCAAGCCAAGACTGACTGGGGCAGCAGCAGCCAAGGTCGAAGCAAGGATGCTGTCAAGAGCCTCTGAGATGAACCGGACGGGAAAGGACGATGGCATGGTCTAAAGTGGTGGCAGTGGCCAGACGCTGGTGTCCTTGAACACTTATCAGTGGATTAGAGAGGGAGAGGAGACCGGGGTGTTCCCACAGCTTTTGGTCAGGGCAAGAGGAAGGAGAGACTTGGGCTGGTGGGGAAGTAGGGATGAGGGAGAGGCTGGAGCACTGCAGTTGGAGCACTAGAGAGACTCACTTGATGGCCCACAGCCAATGGAAGACAGGTGGTCAGGCGTGAGCTTTGGTAGTACATACATGTTAGAAGATACTGCACGTGCCTCCCGCATCAAGGCCATGATGGGGGCAATACAGGTAGGGCAGAAGGGGCGTATAATAAGAACCTGGAGGTGATACCTAGCATGAACTAGTTTTATTTTGTCTGGAGCTACAGGCCTGAGGCCTCAAGGGTGCAGGAGCAGGAGTAGGCAGGGGAGGGGAAGGTCTGCCCCCACGAGAGGAGAAAACTAGAGAAGAAAGGCCAGGATAAAGTCCTGAGTGGGGCATCTCTGAGGGAAACAATGGAGGAAGGAGAAGCAAGAAGGGCCCGGTAGGTGGAGTGGCCAGGGAGGCAGAGTTCTGACTGGGCCTCTAGGGATCCAGGAGGCTATGTGGGTGAACAATCTGGGAAGAGGAGCCTAGGGGTGGGTATGATGCAGAAGATCTGTGCCCCATGTGGGCTGAACAGTGCCAGGCAAGCAGTGGCATAGAAGCTGTTTGGTCTTGGTGGGGTGCAGAGGGAGGCGGGTGATGGGGCAAGCGGTGATGAGGCTGAAGATAGCGGTAGGAACTAAGGGTTGTTGACAGTGGGCTTCTGCAGGATGGGATATTCAAGTGGGTGGGGGCTGGGACCGAGAGGAAGCAGAAGGAATTGAGGGGTGGTTGAGCGTGTATGGACTCAGGTGGGTTCCCTGGGGGTCACTCTAGGACACATTAAACCCAAGTGACCCCTTCTGTTTCCCTGGGCTTCTGAGAGCTGAGTGGGTTGGAAAGGGGAACAGACACAGAGCTGGGGAGAGGGGTAAAAAAAATGGGGGCTGGGCGGTGGTGGCGCATGCCTTTAATCACATACTCAGGAGGCAGAGGCAGGCAGATCTCTGTGAGTTTGAGACCGGCCTGGTCTACAAGAGCTAGTTCTGGGACAGACTTCAAAGCTACAGAGAAACCCTGTCTCGAAAAATCAAAAAAGGAAAAAAGAAGCTAGGAGCAGCAGGGGGCTTCTGGAGGAGGGAGGCTGGGACCAGCGTGTGGCTGGAGTGTTGGCCACACATTTCCTAGCCAGAGATGCCTACTGCCCTTGAGTTTACCTCCAGGGCTCACAGCCTCCCCTGGGCACACCCAAAGATGGCAGGGGGAATAGATGGTGGGAGGCAAACTTAGGGAGGGACGTGGCTTTAAGAACCTTTCCTATGTAGCCAGGTCTTACCTACTAAATCGTCAGAATAAACATCTGTCTGAGGGGTGGCTCCACGATTTCCTAAGAACCTGTCTACTTCCTCTTTCCTGGAAGCCAGAAGTATTTTCTTCTGTGAAGAAAATAAAATTAAAGCTAGCTATTGTACTGTACACACAGTAGTGGTCACTAGGCACTCGGTGGACCCTCAGATGACCTCCTGGAGAGTGTACCACTGTTCTCCCTTGATGGGAGAAGCTGATCGTAAGAAGACAGCGACCCGCCTTAGGGCGTACTGGGCAGCTAGACTATTGAGGCTGTTGTCATGGCCTGCCATGTGAGACTTGCTGTGAGGTTCTTTTATCTCCGGCACAGGCTGCACACATGCTGGTGTGGTTAGGTAAATCCCTGCTTTGCCTACCTATCTCTAGTGGTTTTCTATCCCTGTTACAAAGGAATGAGAGTTTCCATCTCTGGTCACAATACTTCAAGCAGGGTTCCACACTATAAGCTTGTGCTTCCTCCTTCTGGCTTTGAAGGTCTGGAACTTCTTCCTCTGAGGCACAGAGAAGAGACATGGACTCCACTGTGAGCTGGATTGTAGGTCCTCTGAAGGCAGGGCTAAGCACTGAGCTTTAGGCTCTATCTACTTCTGTGCTGAAGTACTGGCAGTGGTTGTTGTCCCAGGAGGCCATTCGTGAGGGGAAAGGGGGTCTGAAAGAAAAAAAAATGTAGAAATTTCTGCTCTTCTCATCAGTCCTCCAGAGAGGCACCTTGGGGCCTGTGTGAGCTCAAATCCTGGGGTGCCTATGAGGCCCTTTATCACACCCCTTTCTTGTGCAGCAGCTCAGGGGCCCACAGCGGGAGGTAATAGCAAGGTTGGGAAGATTTCCTCAAATTTAGAAGGTACCTAGCCCAGGGACACAGTACTCTCAGTACACAATACCTGCAGGAGCTCCTTCCTCCGTGAGTTGTGTCTGTGCTTGTTCCCTGAAGTCTTCAAGGCCTTCCTCTAATGTCGCCTTTGGGGACACCCTCCGTGACCAGCTTCCTAGCTTCACTTCTGTCCTCCCTTTTCTACTTTGTTTGTGCCTGAGGTTGGGGTCTGTGTGTTCCTCGGGGACTTATATTTGTTGGGGGGGGGGCATAACCCATGCCTGCTGGGTTCTCAGAGTCTCCCCAAACAGCTTGGGAATGTCTGGAGGTAGAAGGCTTTAGTGCCTTGGCTTCCTGGCACGGACTTGACCTGTGTGTGTGCTTTATCTAATCTCCCTAATGCCTTTACAGGGAAATTTTATTATCTTCACTTCATGAACGAAGCTGCTGGGAACACGAGGAGGCTCGCGTGTAGTCACCCAGGGAGTAAATGGTAGCGAAGGATTTGAAACAGAGGCTCTGTGAGAACTGAATCTGAGGTGGGTGTCCTGGCTTCAGTGAATGTGGGATTTGGTGGGGGGTGCATGGAAGAAGGAATTGGGGCTGGGGAGCATGCTGGCAACGGATAGTATCCTCCATGGCGAGGGATGCTGGCAAAGGGGAAGGCACCAGGAAAGGCTGGCCAGTGGAAGAAGCACAAATACGGAACAAAAGGGCCCCAGATGTGCAAGTGGGGAGACCCCGATGAGGGCGCTTATGTCTGCTGTAGCTTCTCTGGGGACTGGCTAACATCAGCACCAGGCTGTGCAAGCCTGCTCCATACATTCAAAGAAAAGCCTCTCCATGGCTTTTCCATATTTAAGAGGAAACCCTAACGAGGTAGCATCTGCTGTCTGGCTTGCCTCTGTTCACCCCATCCTTTTGCATGCAGTCTGCTGGGACCCTGCGCCCACTCCAGCACTTCTGGAGCCCCTAGTTTGTCAGGTCTGCCTAGCTCTGCTTTCAGTGTGCTCTCTCCTGGCCTGAGTCTAAACCTTTCCCTGGGGCAGAGTCCTCGTGGACTCCTATTTCTAACCTTTTCTGGGCCCAGGGCAGGAGCAAAAAATGGAAACCCCATGTGCCATATGTCTAGATACTTAAACGGTGTACATCAAGCCAACACACTGCTAAACAGAGAGCATGCGCTCTCCGCCTACACTGACAAGCACACGGACTAGTACACCCTCACACCACCCTGGGAGGCAGATCTCACTTAGCAGTCGTGGACTCTTGGAGTGCAGTTTTGAAAAGAGGCAGCATCATGGGGGGTGGGTGCCAACTCTTCCCTAGCGCAGTGACACATGTCACTGACCCAAGGTACATACCTTGTCGCCACAGGCCATTCCCATACTTAGCAACCCTGGCTCTTGGCTACCTCTTAGTCCAGGCAAAAGACCCATACAGACTACACAGTGAAGCTTGGGTGTCCTTTAGGCAGGGAATTCTGGGTCCTTCACTGGGGGGAAAGAGAGTGGTCTTGGGGAGGCATGTCCTTGGCCTTGACCTTATGGGACCTTATGACTCTGAAGGAGGCTAGAGTGAGCTTTTCTAGAATGTGGGATCCAGAGCTGGGGCTCTTGCTGCTTAGCTGGGTTCAAGGACTCTGCTACCCTCCAGGCTCTCCCACTCCAGTGTGGGCAGACTTACACTCTGCCTGCACCCCACATTTGAGGCACCCACTAGCCATTGTGTTCACCGTGCCTCACTGAGCCTACAATTGAGGTGTCCATGACCCTCTCCTCTTCACTCATACCAGGGCTTCTCCCCAGCACCAGCCCTCCTTTCCTACCCAGTATGCCTCTCTTCCCTCCAGTGAAAGAGGAGAGGGGGCTATAGACACCTGTCCTCTTCCTGTCTGGGACTCTGGTCTCAGCCAGCCCATGTCCTTGCTTGGCCTCACTTGGCCGTGTATACACCCCAGTCCCAAGTCCCCCTGCTTCACTTGGACCCTGAAGGCAGTGGGCAGCCCTCCCCAGCTTGTGCCCAGAAAGTGGGGCACCAATTCCACTTTAGCCAACGTTTCTCGCTCACTCAGCGGAAAAGCTGCAGCTTCCCCGAGGCTCCCAAGCCTCACCCTGCACTGACAGCTCCCTCCCTGATGCTGTGTGACAGGCTGGTGTCAGGGCTCCCACACCCGCTACCCTGCCACTGCTGCCTCCTGCCATGGGGCACAACATCTGCCACGCGGGCACCAGGCATCTGCAGCCCCTCCGCTCCCCATGCTGCCACCTCTTGGCTCAGTCTTTCAGGACTTCCTTACTACGGCCCCTTCTGCTTGTGTTGGGTGAATGGGAGGAGGGCAGAGTAGGGGGATGCTGAGGACACACCATCTTTCCATCAGCAGAGGAAGGCTCTGGTTCTGGTAAGGTGTCGGGCATTCTAAAGAGCGAAGCAGGTTCTGAGCTATGCCCACATCGGGCTCTGAGCAGCCCTGACTCCAAATATATAATCAGGAACCTGCTGAGCAGAGAACTGGGGCCAGAGAGCTCGCATAGCTGGACGCCGCCTCAGGATCTGACTCCTAAGACACAGACTCTCCCCATCTCTCTCGGCAGGCCGATGGCCTTATTCTTGCAGTGTCAGCATTTCATTGTCCCCGCCCCCTCCCCACAAAGGCTTGGCTGTGGTCCTGTAGCCAACGTGCTCAGCACCAGACAGTTCTTAAGGCAGATGCTGCTGGCTGAGTGGGGACCTGGAAAAGTGGGTACCCACCCAAGTATGCAGGAGAGGTATCTTCCTGGGCACCTGTGGCTTTTCTGGGACAGATTTGCTCTGCCTTATGTGGTCCCTCCCCCTCCTTTCTCTTCTCCTTTCTCCTGGTTAGACCTGTCAGCAGAGGGACTCCTGGAGGAAGGAGTGTGGCTCTGATCCTGTCAAATTCATAATGGACTGTGAATAATGGACCGTGAGCCCAGACCCTTCCAAACCAGCTGATCCTGTGGGTGAGGTGAGACACGGGCTGGATGTACTTGTAAGAGGATTCCATGGGTCCATAGCCCCTCTACCTGCTGTACCTGCTGCCTGTCCCAGGGTCCTTTTCCTTCTTCATTGCACGAGCATTACCCCCTTCGACTAGCTCTCCTGACTACAAAGGGCTCCGTCTGCATCTCAGGGAAGCACTTGCCATAATTGGTCCTTGTTCTGAGTGGAGACCTCTGGGAACTGGGGGGCCTTCTAGATTCTACTTACCCCATGGGGACTCAGCCTGTTCTTGCAGGAGGGGAGGAGTTCATGGTATTCTGGCTTGTGTGTGAGCTTCTTGTCTGAGAAACAGGGGCTCAGCCACATCCCCTGTTAGACACAGTCTGACCCTCCCCACTCCTCTGTTTTCCTGTAGGACCAGCCCAGCTGCATCCGAGTTGGGGGCTCAGGAAGGAACTGAGGATCTGACCTCATGTCTATCTGTCCAGGCCTGTCTGGGGTGGAAAGGAGTCAAGCTGGAGGCGGGGGAGGGGGGGTGCAGGACGAGCAGCTGCATGTGACCCAGCCCCTGGGTAAATGGCGAACTGGGTCCCCCAACTGAGGGACAACCCAGGCTACACAGGAGCTGCCCTTGCCTCCCATTCCAGCCCTTCTCCATCGTGTGAAGAGGGATTGACCCAGGAGTAGCCGAGGTGGACACCAGGCTTCAAGGTACCACAGGTCTAGGAGCCATGAGAAGGCAGTTTGGGGCTAGAGCCAGGCTCTCCGGCAAGTAAAGCAGAAGCCTGGGCTCCCTGTCTGAGGACCAGACACTTCCTCTCTAGGGACTGCACCTTTCTGATGAGATCCCCACCTGCCTGCCTGCCCCGCCCACTCCCTCATCGCAAGAGCAAATGAGGTGATGCAGAGACTCTGAAAAGCATAAAGGTGGCATTATTTTTAGCAGGAGTCATATTTGACTTGCTAATTAGCCTCCTAAAAATAGCCTCATTTATTATAGCACAGGGAGAACCCTGGGTAGGAGTTGGCGCCCTGGATCCTTGGTGTGGCTCTTTGGCAGTTGTGCTGTGTGACCCTGGCTGGGCCTTGACCTCTCTGAGCAGTTAAGCAGTTAGAGTATCCCTGAGGGCTACTGGCCCTGAGTCTGGACTGGCAACCAAATTTGAGACCAAGGAGGAGACTTCCTCCTGTCTGGAGTGAGATCGAGGATTCCTCTGAGTCATGGGGTAGAGCAGTTGGTATCACCGAGGCTATCTGGAACCTGCTGGGGCATTTATACAAGCCTGTTTTGTCTTAATCATGGGCCCTACACTTGTCCTCACCACAGAGCCCAACCATCAGGAAGCAAATGAGAATGGTCAGAGGGAGGCCTGGGGCTGGGCAAGGTAGAGAGGGACGGACGGGTCACCGTGTGACATCCAGCCAACTGGAGAACGCATTCTGTCCATGCTGTTTATTGAGTATGTAGTGTGCACCTGGCACTGTATCCCATGCTGCGAAGATAATGGGACAAACCAGACTGGGTCCTGGTTCTTGTTTTCCTGGTCCTTCAGATCCAGTGGGAGGGAACAGGCAATCACCATGTACACAACGGAAGTCTTGGTCTGACCACAGAGAGGGGTGTCGGGAAGCGTATCATGAGGATGACGTAGAGGGAAGGCCAGGGAAGGCTCCTTCGGGGGTGACACGGTTGAAACATGGATGGATATTAATAACTAGGCAAAGTGGGGTTGTGAGTGGGGACCCTAAGCAGAAGAGGGAGCCAAGTCCGATGGTGAGGGGAGTGGAAGGAGTGGACGAAGTTGGGGTCTTTGCCTCTACCATCAGTGTGGTACCCGGAAAGAAAGGCAATTTTCCATTGGAAGCCCGAGGTTCAAGCCAAGGACCATAGCAATTGAAACTGGGGAAGGGTGGAGGCAGTGGGGAGGGAAAGGTGTGAAACTGAGAGCGCTGGGATGAGGTGGATTCCGTTTCAGAGTCAGCATGAGGTGGTGGGTGAGGTCGCAGTGATGGCTGCTGATTCACAAGCACGGCGGCGGCACCTGCTTCCTTGTCCTGTTTCTATTGCTCCTAAGGAAATGCCCATCAATTGGTCATGCGATTCACGAGTTCCTCCACCTAGTGCCAGTCAAGCGAGTGCTGCCCTGTCCCCAGTGTTTGTCCTGTCTCTATTCCCAGGTCTCTGCTGTCGCTCCTTAATCCTGGCCACTTTGGGCAGTAGAAGACTGCAGGGTGAGGCTGCTGGCTTTGATGGGGACTTCACTAAAATTGTCTAGATATAACAGCAAAGTGTCAGTGAGGGGGGCACTGGTGAAGGGGCCCTCAGAGGACAAACTAAGCCAGCCATAATCCCTCCCATTCACCTCTGGGGCCTCCTCCCATGAAGGGGCCTAACAACTGGCCCTGGGCTGACCGGACAGGGCTCAACAGAACATCTCACACTGGGGCCTCTCTAGGTGGCCAGCTGTGGGAGATGCTGCCCCAGGAGTGGCTGCACCCAGGTCCCAGCTACCTGCCTTTTTCCCAGGACACAGTAAGACTGGGGTTCAAAAGAGGCTCATCAGAAGCTCTCTGGTCC